AGAGAGAGAGAGAGAGAGAGAGAGAGAGAGAGAGAGAGAGATCTGCAGGTGTCTTCAGAGGCCAGAAGAGGGCGTTGGAGGGTGTTACAGGTGGCTGTGAGTCTGCCTCCTCCTCTCCTCTTGCTAGGAACAGCATTCAGGTCCTCTGAAAAAGAAGTACTCTTAAATGCTGAGCCATTTCTGTCCCGTTCCTTCCATCTGTATAACTGAGGGCTGTTATAACTACATCTACATGAAATGTTTCGTGTGTGAACATTTTCATTTCACCTAGAAAGAAATGAGATTGTAGGGTCAGGCGGCTAACTGGAACTTTGGCTTCCCGAGAGAATCAATCTGATTTCCAGGATGGCAGCTCAGGGGTAGAGGTTCTGCTTAGAGCCTGCAAACCAGAATTATTAAGGCCCTGGGTTTAATTCTAGGGGAGGGAGGGAGAGGGGAGAGGAGAGAGGAGAGAAAGAGAGAGAGAGAGAGAGAGAGAGAGAGAGAGAGAGAGACCTTATAATACACAATTTTGGAATCGCCAACAATCCGAGAGAGTCGTTGTTGAGTTCCATTCTTGAAAGCGCTGGTTACTGAACTCATCTTAATTCCAGCCATCCCAGAGGTACTCAGTGAACACTGAATCTCAATAGAGGAGGGGCTGTTTTCAGGAGAAGGGAGTCGCCAAATGGCAGAGCGTGGGGGAGGGTAGGGGAGGAGGTTGACGAATTAGGACAGAGTGTGACACACATGTCTGAATATGCCATAATAAAACTTACTTTGTATACTAACCTCAACAATCAAAAAAAAAAAGAGTACAACTTAATGTGCATTTATTTCTCTAATGGTGAGTAGTATCGGGCCTCTTCTGTATGGTCTCATGTCACTCAGATACACCCCTCTTTTCGACAAAGTGTCTATACAAGTCTTCTACTCCGTGTTGATCCCCATCCCCACAATGGGACCGCGGCCTTGCAGGGGTGGTAGGCGTGGACGCCCTGTACTAACTACACCCACAAATACTTTTATTCTTCATTTTTTAGGCTTTCTCACAAATGAGTTTGAGAGTTCTTCATAGTTTATTACAAACCTTTATTAAACTTGTGTGTTTCAGGAAAAAAACTTTAATCTTGGTGAAGTCAAATTTGCCAGTTTTTCCATTTATTACTCATCATTTTAATGTCAAGAAGTCTAAAAACTCCTGGCCTAGCTAATAGAGCCTAAAGATTTTTAAGTTTTATTATATACAGATTTTGTGTGATGCAATTTTTGTATAAGATATTAAGATTTGCTTGACATTCATGTATCTTAAACTCTCCAGTGGCACTTGTCTCTAATAAGCTCATGTCTATTGGATTGCATCTTTGCCATAGTTCTTTAGTTCCATTTCTGGGGTCTCATAGGATTGGGATTGTGTCTTTTCATTCTCTCTTTTTATGATCCTTGTTTGTATGTGTTGTGTATTATTGTTCATATCTCCTAGTATGTAATGATTTCTTTTGGGCAGATGCTTGGAGGGAACTGATACGTAACTATCAGAGAGCTAACCATACAAATGTTTGTTCTTATAAGAGACCATATTTTACTAAACTATTATGTGTATTTTAGTCTGGCCTGGTTGTATGTGAATTCCCACTAATCCTCCCCAACAAGTGATGATAAAAATATCAATTGAGCTAACCATGAGTTAAGATCACAGTATCCATACACTATGAGTTCATTGTCCATACACATCTCCTATACTCTCATCAGGCCGAGAGTTAGCAATGCCTGTGTGTTGTTCTCAATTCTCCAGGCTTCCAGTCAGGTGTAACTAAGAGATTGGGTTGCGGTCAATGGGTTGTGAGTGCAAGATGTCTCAAGTCTGGCCATTAACAACCTTTCCATGAGCAATATGGCAGTTTGAATGAGAATAGCCCCCAATATGTTTGTGTTTGAATATTTTGTTCTGAGTTGGTAGAACTGTTTGGGAAGGATTAGGAGGTGTGGCCTTGTTGGAGGAGGTGCATCACTGGGGCTGGGCTTTGAGGTTTCAAAAGCCCACATCATTCCTGATTAGGTCTCTCCGCCTCCCATAGATCAAGATGTGAGCTCTGGGCTACTGCTCCAGCTCTAGGCCCATCTGCCTCGGAAACTGAAAGCCCCCGATAAACTCTTTCTCCTATATTGTCTTATCACAGCAGTTGAAAAGTAACCAAGACAAGGGGATTCCTTTCGCTAGCGCCTAGCCCCCCCCACACACACACACACTCACTCTTTGGAGTTCTTTCTCACTTCTCTTTTAAAAATCCATATAGATTTTGCTAACACACACACACACACACTCACACACACACACACACACACACACACACACACACACACACCAAAAGCTTCCCATTTGACCATCACATCCTATTTTCTTGTGGTACATGCACAGCAGAGACCATGTGGTCTAGGTGGAGTAACTAGAAACAGAATGGGGACACTCTAGGGTGTGTGATAAAATGCCGCCTTCATTCCACCATCATTTGAGAGTTTTACTGCATTCAGAATCGCAAGCTGACATACATTTCCATTTTTATTTTTCAGCAAAGACTTGTCATTCTTGCTATACGCACAGAACTATGACCTACAGTGTGAAAGACCCCTGTAGTCAGCAATGAACTGCACGTAGCTTTTCCCTTCCCTCACGGAAAAACTATTACATTACCTCACAAACTTACTCTCATCAGTGCACACCCTCCTGTGGCAAACAGTTCAGAACAGGGCAAAAGGAAACTATGACATGGCACCAGTAAGTAGCAGTCATGGTCAGCACACCTTACTGATAACCGGTTATCCCACAGGGACACTGACCAACGAGAAAAGCTGTATTCAGGTACACAATGAGAAAAAGTACAAGATGAGCACACTTTAGTGCTGAAAAGAATGGCATCCAAAATCTCAACACATCAAGCTAGCAGGTTCTTTTCTTTCAAATCCTTCAAGTCTGACTTCCTCGGTCCTTGTATTTTTGTGGCTGGTAACTCATTTGGTGAAGTTGAAATAATCTCTCTACAATAGCTGTTTCTTTGCCTGCTTACACATTTGGTTTACAGTATCATGATGGCCATGAAAAACATCTTAGATATGTTTTTATTTTTCAGTTCTTGGGATGTTATACTTCCAAGATAAAAAGATTCAACCAGACATGGTGGCTCACACCGCCAATTCTAGCATTCCTTGAGTTTGAAGTGGGAACATTGAGGTGACCTTTTCTCAGGAGTGACAATAGAGGGTGACCAACACACCCACCTCTAGCCTCCAGTCACACCACACCCGCACTCACATCCACACACCCCCACACAGAGCTAGATATCTACAGAATTCATTTTTCTCAATTTTAATAAACTCAAAATTGTTGTTTGCTCAAAAAATGACATGTTATTTTTGATTGGTTTCAAAGATTTCCATTAGACATGTGTTAGGTCTTTTAATTTTGTCCTGCAGATCAATGATTGGCAATTTTTTTAACACATTCTCAGAGGTTGGATGGTATTTTAGTTTTTATTTTTAAAAATTACATGGTGTATATATATTAGTTAGACAAATATGTGGGTATCAGAGACCTTGTGGTAGTAGGTCCTCTCCTACAATCTTGATCCTGGGGATCAAACTCAGGTAGTCAGTCTGGGTGGTAAGCTGTTCCTGATTGTGAAGATGTCAAAGATAAGAGCCAGTCATTTTCAGCTCAACAAGGAAGAGATGTCAGGGGAAATTCTGTATAATGTGCAATGGCCTCCCAGGGAAACTCAAGACATTATAAAACATTCCCTGTTCCCAGGTTGGAAGGAACCTTATTACAAGTTTCCTGAGTCCACCCATTCGTGTTCTTGAGCCCACACATTTCTGAAACTGTGCACAATAAACCCCAGATGCAGTGGGAAGAACAGAGCTTGGGGTGATGAGCTACTCTTAAAAGCAGCACAGAAATCTGATTCAAACCACAAATCTCTCCAGCTAACACAGAAGGCTGCAATTTTCAGGAAATAAAAGACATTAAAATGGAAAACAGAAAGAAGGAAATATTTGGGCCAAAAAGAAAAAAAGACATTTGGTACTCCATCTGTTTTTATGTGTGGTGACTATGATAATTTAACTGGCAAGTACTAAAAATGGCAAGTTCTTGGATCCCCAAATTGGCTCCTTTTTTTTTTTTGTATGTTAAACAAGAAGTCCCAGGGAATAAGACCAAAGGCTGTAAGACAGGTGCCTGCTTTAACTGCACTTCAAGTAAGAGTTTTGAAAAAATGATGAAATTCTACTTTTTAAG